TAAATATGTTTTTAGTCCCTAAACTATTGGTCGTTTCTGATTTTCGTCCATCTTTCAAAGTAAGGTACAATTTGGTCCTCATTCTTTTCGGAACGTTCGTTTTAGTCCTCGGAATTTTGGTTTTAGTCCTCATTTGTTGCTAAATGAGGACCAAATTTTTAAACAGTATTTAGTTTTCGAGGACTAAAACGAACGTTTCGAAAAGAATGAGGACCAAATTGTACCTTACTTTGAAAGAGGGACGAAAACCAGAAACGGCCAATAGTTTAGGGACTAAAAACATATTTAACCCTATTTTTGTTAGTGTTCATAATTTTTTTTTACAATATCAATGTTATTGTTTCACTTTGATTTTTTTTAGGAAAACTTTTAATTCATGTCAATGAATAATTATAACACCATTTAATAATGTAAAATTACTAAATAAAATATTATAATATGATAATCAATAAACGAAGAAGACTAACATATAATTGTTATATTAAAGTCATTTATATAAATATGTATTATATATAGATAGCCATGTTACTAAACTAACATAAGTATAATTTTGTCAAAGAAAGAGATTATACAAAACAAGACTATCTTAAAATTATCATCCTCGTTTTATATTACATCAATTGCAGCATCTTGATATGCTTACATTATTAAGGAGATCACTACAAACAAAAAGAACAAATAGACAAAACAAACACAAAAGAAAAGATAAGCTAATGTGAAAAAGAGAAATCATAGAATAGTCTAGAGATATTATTACATATAAATCATTCATAACCACAAACATATCACATACAAAAGACTCATATAGACTCGACAATCGAGACACATGTAATGATATCAGACTTTGGCGAGTTTTTGTAGTGATTTTTACTGCTCTATAGAGTCATTACCAATGATTTTCATCCTATCACATCCATTAACATCTTTGGCCAACATAAAGCCCTTAGAGTAGGACCTTATACATCTCTCACCACATACCCCATCATTCTCTATTTGAGATTGGCTGGCTATTAGAGTGATAGGATAACTCCTAATATGAAATCCACCAGATATATTATTTTAACAACTACTAATCCTCTTTGGATTAGTACTAACCATTATAAAATTACATTATAAACCAATCATCATTTTAACATCCACAAAATATTACACACATTTAAACATACCATAAGAGACATATGAAAATGTTAGTTAAACTCTGATGCTTTCGCTCAGTGAGAATATCTACTTGCTTGACGAGTAGTGCCTGAAAGCATACTTGCCCAATGACCAGATAGCTCATCTAACGAGAGTATCACTTAAATTTATAAACATAAATTCTCACAAAAGTTGCCCAAGGAGACTTCTCACCCAATTATTGTCAAGTTAGTGAATTCTATGACTTTGGTTGCATTTAATGACATTATTCTTACCTAAGGACTACCAAGTCAATAAATATCTAACTTTAACCTTACTCAGTAAGTATATTCTCGCCTATCGACTATCAATCAGATAACTCTTTGATTTTGGTTCTGCCTAGCAAGATTGTTCTCGTCCAATAACCACCAAGTTAGTAAGTCTCTAACTTTAACATCGCCCGAGTATGAATAATTTTGTAGAACATAATTCTACAAATTTATGTCATTCCAACCCTACAATTCAGTCCAACAACAATCACAAAAGCCAAAACATACCAACTATCAAGTTATACACAACTCACTAACTCAATTAATCTCAATTGCAATATCAACCATACAACATACCAAATTTCAAAGTACAATTCATGTGAGCCAAATTGAATCCTAACTCAACTCCACCCATCATATTTCATCAGATCACACAAACCAAATATCATACAATCATGATGTACGACTCGAGAAACATGTAGTAATTAGGGAATAAAGTGGTTTTGAGACTTTAGTATTATTGTTTGATAATTGGTGTTTAATGTTTAGATGTTTCTTAGAATTATAATTGTTATGTTAATTATTTAGTGTTATTATTGATAAAGTGCAATACATGTTTGTATGTTATTAATTTGGTGATTTGGTGATTTGTGTGTGTGTGGCATTACCATTGTGATGTGTTGGTTTGTTGGTAGAGATGTTGTTTAAGAATGAATGGATGAGGGTTCAATTCTTAGGGAGAAGAGTTTAATAGAAATTTAGATTTTAATTATATTTTTGGCCTAGGGACAAAAGGTTCTTTTTATCTTTATTAAATGCTGCAAAAATTATCTTAGGGGATAGAAAGTAAAAGGACACAAATAATAGAAAATCTAAAACGTAAATGAGAGATAAAAAAGGATATGAAGAAAAAGGTGTTGCACATTGGTACCCTAATTCTAAAATGAAAAAGAGAGAGAGGGAGAGAGAGGCATTTCTGGGAGAGAAAAGAAAGAGCTATAGAAAACCTTAGTACAAGGAAAGATTTGTGGTGTTTTGGAGTTGTAGATAAAGCCTTAGGTTTGGCTAAGGTATGGGGAAGCTTACCTTTGTTTGCTTGTTGTTGTATGTTATATGTTCTTGATTATCTTGATTGATAATCCTTGTTTTGATGCATGTTGCACATGATTTTGGTTATAGTTATATGTGGTTATTGTTGTGTAAGGGTTTGTGTATGCATGAGGATATGGTTTATGTAATATTTGTGTTGAGTTTTTCCTATGAAAGTATGAATGGTTTTGTTGGATTGTCCCATAATAGGTATTGATGCAAAGGGGGAACAAAGCTATGATGCTTGGGGGTTTACCATCCAAATATATGTTATAAAGATGCTATGATAATCTGTATGTAAAATATTGGGTTGTTTTCGTTATAATATGTGTAATGATGAGTTTTGGATGATTCAAGTGATGTAATGAATGTATTAGGGTCTGTTCATAAGGGTATATGAGGTCTGAATACGTGCATAATGTATTGGTGTTTGCTCGTGGTTTAGAGTTGATGTATGTGTGTTTTGAACACTTGAATTATGTCCAGGATGTGTTTCGATTCGGCAATAATCGATTATTACTAGTTATAATCAATTATTTGCGCATTGGTTTAGAGTTTTGTTTCGAGAATAATCGATTATCTGAGATTTTGGATGGTATTGTGGATGCTCATGGTAATGCTCATGTTAGGATTAATCATGATGGTGGTACATGTGTTAATGATCGTAATGCTTCAGAGGATGTTATGTTGATAGTGATGGTATCACGTGGAGTAGTTAGCATAGGTGTTAATGTATAGATAAACCGGTAGTCTAGGCTTAGCATCGTGGATTAAGAATCAAGTAATTTATTATGATTGAATTGTTATGTTAAAGGATTATAAACTCTATTGTTACTATTGTGTATGAGGTGATTGTTTATGGTTATAATCCGTATGTTTATAGCTTGTTATTATAATTGTTTATTGGTAGCTTACCCCATACATTTTTGTGTTGTGTGTTTATGAACGAAATTATCAACGATGATCATATAATGTATCATACATGAATAGATGATGTTGTAGATGTTCCAGATGTTGCTAAGGCATGATAAAATCGAGATATGATGGGGGAACAAACTTGAGACTTTTATTTAAAGTTATTTCATTTGTTATTTTCATTATCTTGAATAATGTAATTGGACAAGTCTTTTGGAACTCATAAGCTTTGAATAAAGTATGCATGCTTAAATGATAAGATTTTGAAAAATACGTTTCCGTGCTATGATAGAAAGTTGAAATTTTTGGATTTTTGAATAATTTGTGACACCCTAAAATTTGGGGCGTTACACATGCAATTAGTAATTACAAGTTGTCTATCACAATGCAATTAACTTCCCTTGCTTGAAAGATAAACCAAATTGTTCAAAAATCTTATAAACATCTCCAAATGCATAGAAAGCTCTTTTTGCCCCTATGAACAACACAAACATGATCAAGACACACCATTATGATTAATGATCAACAAAGACTTTTATAGAAGACTCATACACAACATGCAAACCAAGATTGTCCACGTGCACAAAAAGAACATACCAATCAAGAAAATGGACAGAAAACCAACTTACTCTATTTGAGAAATTTATCCGACAGAAGTGGAGAGTTCACCTCAAAAATTACCCTAGTAATCTCCGATCTTCAAACATATGAACTTACATTAAGAAAACCTAAAGAGAAGAGAAAAAGTTTTAGAAGAAAAGAGTTTAAAAATGACATACTTTTAAAATAATGAAACTCGTTCATAAGTGTTCTATTTATGTTTTAAATTTTTATTATTAAAATAATTGAGTTTATAATTTGAAAAATACTATCAATTTTAAAACATGATTTTATAGACTCTTACAATAATCCAAAAAAAATTAGACAATTCCAATAAAAATCTTTTAAAAAATTTCATATAAAACAATATAAACTAATATTCACTAAAAATATATTAAATATTAATATTTTAAAATTTAAATAATGATTTAAATTTTACATACATTTATTGAAATGTTTTGTAAGCGAGAATTTAATATTTAAAATTAACAAATTTGAAGTATTTAATCTAGATAAAACATTTTAAAAACAAAATAATTACAAATAATATCAACTTAAATTTAGTATAAGTAAATATTTTAAAATTTTTATAAATTCTTACCACCTAGAAGTTAAAGTTGTTATCATTAACATTTGGTTTCTTAAAAACTTTTTTATGCAGGTATTTTAATTGTAATACATGTTACAATTTTCAAAATATTTATTGATTATAAACTAAAATTATATAAAATAAATATTTATTGTGTATAATACGCAATCTAAAATATTTGTTATTCCTGTAATAATTCACACACATAATTTTGTTTGCATATAATTTTTCTAATACAGTTAAAGTTTGGTTTTCATGGTCGAAAAATAAAATAAAAGATTAGTATTTTGTCTTAATTTTTCTAATACGGTTAAAAGTTTGGTTTTCATGGTGGAAAAATAAAAATGATTAGCACTTTATCTTGACAGAACAAATGACCAACAATAAACAATTAATTACTATTGTTATTTATTTTATATTTTTTCCCGCTAACCCAGAATCATTCTGAAGAAACTTCAAAATGTGACCTCTCCTCGCCGGAGCTCGCACTAGCTGGTAACACTTATTCATCGGGGCGTAACCGCCGAAACCCTAATATTCTTTTCACGAACCAACCCGTGGGTGAGCGCAGCATGAACGTTCTGAACGTGGCGGAGAAGCCCTCTGTGGCGAAGTCCGTATCCACCATCCTCTCCCGGAACCAGGGCATGAGAATGCGGGAGGGGCGTTCCCGCTACAATAAGATCTTTGAGTTCAACTACACCATTCGCGGCCAACCCTGCCACATGCTCTTCACCTCCGTCACCGGCCATCTCATGGAGCTCGAGTTCGACGAGCGTTACCGCAAGTGGCACGCGTGTAATCCCGCCGACCTCTTCCGCGCCCCTGTCCATAAATCCGTCCCGGAGGTTCGCATCGAAGAACAGCGTTGCTCTTTATCTTTCTATGTTTTGGGCGTTTAATTTTCCGTTGCAATTTGTTTGCGTTGTTTACCCTAGGACAAAAAGGATATCAAGAGGACGCTGGAGGAGGAAGCGAGGAGGTGCCAGTGGCTTGTTTTGTGGCTCGATTGCGATAGAGAGGGTGAGAACATTGCGTTTGAAGTGATTGACGTCTGTACTGCGGTGAATCCTCATCTTACTATAAAACGGGCTCGGTTTTCTGCATTGATTGAGAGGTTCAGCTTTGCTTTGTGTCCTGTTGTAGTGGTTGTATTTTTCTTTTATTTTTGTTGTTGTTTGATTGCTGCTGCTTTTCATAGAGAGATCCATCATTCTGTTCAGAATCTTGAGGAGCCCAAGAAAAGTCTTGCTGATGCCGTCGATGCTAGGCAGGTGAATAGTCACTCTTTTCTGACTTAGAAGGAGCTGATTTTATCGTGGATATGTTTGTTTCAAATTAAAACTAGGGTTTGACGCTATTGCCTTTTTGTTTTATATATTAACTATTACACGATTTTTCTATTTTGTGGGTGGTGAGGATGATTGTCTAGCTTTTTTTTTGTAGGAAATAGATCTCCGTATAGGCGCTTCTTTCACGAGGTTCCAGACCATGTTGATGAAAGATGCTTTTGCCATTGACACTGCTACAGATGGCAGAAATCTTGTCCTAAGTTACGGCCCTTGCCAGGTATGCTTCTATTGAAAATAGCACCGAGATTTTTGTGCTTAAAACGTTATTGATTCGTATTGTAAATTTTAGCTGTATTTTTTTTACTACAGTTTCCTACACTTGGATTTGTCGTGGAAAGATATTGGGAGATACAAGCACATGAGCCAGAAGAGTTTTGGTCTATCAACTGCGCTCATGATTCGGATGGACGCATTGCTAAGTTCAGCTGGATGTAAGATACGAAAGCTTTAAGGTTTTGATATATTCATGGTTCTTGTTGTTTCACTGACTGCAGGCTAAGATTTAATCTAAAATTCATTTGGCAGGCGGGGCCACTTGTTTGATTATACATGTGCAGTTATAATATATGAGATGTGTGTTGAGGAACTGACAGCAACAGTGAGTCTTTTTTAAAACATCTGGTGGGGCATATGCTGAATGCAGAGTAATTCTTTCATTACACGTATTGATTACCTTTCAGGTGACAAACGTTAGACAACAGGAAAAACTGAAGTATCCTCCACATCCTTTGAATACCATTGAGCTAGAAAAACGTGCTTCAAGATACTTCAGGATGAGTTCTGAGCACACAATGAAGGTGACCGGAGATTACCATTTGTTTGTGTGCTTTCAAGCTGTCAGCTTTATAAAAAATGATTTGTAATAAGTAGTAATTGTTGTGTATAAAAGAAGAAACAGTATACTTCTAGATGATGCCAAGTAAAACATAAAAGACTTTCACATCAATGGGAAGAAGTTTAACTATCAAACATTTTATCCATAATTCTCTATACATATCATCATATGTGATATTTATGTGTGCATGCTATGCCATTCAAAGGCATGTGCTGTTTGCTAGTGTTCCTAAAAGCTTTTGTGCTGGTGTCATTGTTATCTGGAGTTCTGAATAATATCTCACCATTTATGTGTATGTCTGATTGTATAGTGACGGCGATGAATTAAAAGATTTACATAAACAACTATTTTGTAGACAAGTTCAAAGTGGCAAATACTTGTTATTTTATTCCAATTCTATTTTTGCATAGATTTACAGATTTTTTGTTTTTATATGCAACTATGCTTACAACTTATTTAAATATTTATAGGTGGCGGAAGAACTTTACCAAGCTGGTTTCATCAGTTACCCCCGTACAGAGACTGATAGCTTTTCTTCAAGGACTGACTTGCATGTGGGTTGGCTTTTCATCTATCTAAACATGAATAATTATCACAGTTGTGGTCTACTGGATAGTTGGGCTTCAAAGATACAAGAATTTTGCTAATTTGCATGTGATAATACTTGAGATTAAACAGAATATATTTCTAGAGGGCTTAGTTGATCGCTTTCACAATCTTCTATTTATAATAAAGAACTGATACAAGAGTACATGGAAGATTAAGGGACTGCACTAGACACATAGGTGCAAAACTAGGTACTACTATAGATACAACTCATAAAAGCTAGCACACTACAACCTAAGTAGGCTTAATGATGATATATAGATGTAATTATCCTAACAATAATCAACCTGAATTGTGATTTTAGAAGCTACTATAGATACAACTCATAAAAGCTAGCACACTACATCCTAAGTAGGCTTAATGATGATATATAGATGTAATTATCCTAACAATAATCAACCTGAATTGTGATTTTAGAAGGGGAGGCCTTCACTTTTATGGTTATGGAGAACATGCTATTTGGCATGGATGCTGTTTGATTCTTTTTTATTTTTGTAAGAAAATATTGTATGCATCACTTGAGAATTTTAATTGTTTTACATAGATGTAGTTATATGCATGTTTTTTGGTGTCTTATAATACACAAAAAGGAAAGGGACTTAGTGTTGACATTTTGGCATAGATTGAACCATGGAGGAAATTAAATATAGTATACTTGAGAAAGATACAAAGGAATTAGAATGAATTTGAGAGTGTGTTTCCCTCCCTTAGGATTTCATATTTATAATCATTTTGGATACATTAGATACAATGTATAGAGTGAAGAGAGGAGAATTCCAAGAGATACATTTAGGATATAGGTTCAACATAAAGCACACATTATCTTATAATAACTCCTTTTTGAGACTATTTATTCTAATACCTCCTCTAGCTGGATCATACAAATTGTACGTGCCAAGCTTAAAACAAATAAATTCAATCCAAGGACCTCTTAAGGATTTTATTAAAACATCTTTAAGTTGATTATTTGATCTGACAAACTCAATGCAAATTTTGTTGGACAACAACTTTTCTTGAATTAAACGACAATCAATTTCAATGTGTTTGGTTCTCTCATGGAATATGGATTGGAAGCAATGTGGAGAACAACTTGATTATCACAATACATCGTCAGGTTGAATGTCACAAAAACCTAATTCTTGTAGGAATGGTTTTACCCATATGAGCTCACGAGTAAGGGATGCCATTGTTGTATACTCATTGCTTTATGCTCAACTTCAATAGATGATTTGACAACAACATTTTGCTTATTTCTTTTCAACGAGATAATATTTCTTCCAAAAAAAAAACACAATATCTAGTAGTAAAGCGTTTATCCAAAGGAAAACTAGCTCAATCAACATCACTATCCAAAAATTTGGGTATTCCCTTTATTTTTATAAAGTAGTGTTAGGTTCCTAGATAGAGGAACCCAAGAACACCACTACAAAGCACCTAAAGTCATTGAAAAGATCTTGTATTATTGATTCTAGGCACAAAGAACAACAAGAATGCCTCCAAGGGACAGTGTTCCCTTCGCATAAGATGCCAATGATCCTGTCAACAATTTTCTGAAACATCTAGAACATCCCTGACCGTTAGGTTTCTTGGTGACAAGGAACTTATATTCTATCTCAAAATGAACAATCTCAACTGATAAATGAATCCTCATTGTGATGAAAACAACTTTATTGAAGGGAAAACACTGAAAACAATCAATTGCAATAAAGGGAAAATATTCCCTTTCATAGGACAAACCTTGTTTTTCTAATAAAACACTCAATACCCACCCAAATATACGCCCCCCTCCTTAAAAGACATAAATGAAATAGATCATCAAAGGAAACTGTCAACTATCAATGGAAACTACGCATAGTTGCTGTGAGAAATAGAGAAGATTGGGAGAAAATATCCCTTGTGTCTTTTGCATACACATAGGGTAGTTTATTTATAATATAAGATATGGGCCAATGCCCTTAATACAGAATGGGCCGAGTCCAATTAACAGAAACACACATCTTAACATCTAACACTCCCCCTCAAGCTGGAGCATATAAATCATATGTTCCAAGCTTGTTACAAAGATAATCAATTCTAGGTCCTCGTAAGGACTTAGTGAATATGTCTGCCAACTAGTTGCTTGAGTTAACAAACTTAGTCTTGATATCTCCGGATATGATTTTTTCTCGAATAAAATGACAATCAACTTCAATGTGTTTGGTTCTCTCATGGAAGACAGGTTAGAGCTAATATGGAGAGCAGCTTGATTATCACATATAAGTGTCATGTGAGTGACATCTCCAAATTTCAATTCACTAAGTAATTGTTTAAGCCACACAAGCTCGTAAGTAGCTGATGCCATAGCTCTATATTCTGCTTCTGCGCTGGACCTTGCCACAACACTTTGCTTCTTACTTTTCCAAGATATAAGGTTGCCACCAATAGAGACACAATATCTAGAAGTAGACCTCCTATCAGAAGGGGAACCAGCCCAATCAGCATCTGAATAGCAAACAATTTTTGTATCATTGTTAGGATCATATAGCAAACCTTTTCCAGGTGATCCTTTAATATACTTCAGTACGCGAACAACTGCATCCCAATGGTCTTCACATGGGGAGTTTAGGAATTGACTCACCACGCTAACTGCGAAGGAAATATCGGTGTTGGATTGTGCTACTTCAATACCCAAAAAGTATCGGAGTTTGCCAAGATCTTTGGTTTGAAAATGATGACAAAGGTGTTGTTTCATCTGAGAGATGCTAAGATAGTCGCTTCCTATGAGAACAATATCATCGACATACACTATTAAGTAGATACATCCAACACTTGAGTGACGATAGAACACTGAATGATCCGCTTCACTGCGAGACATACCAAATTGTTGAACACCACAGTTGAATTTACCAAACCAGGCCCAAGGAGACTGTTTTAGGCCATATAAGGATTTGCGAAGACGACATACCAATCCAGATGAATCCCTCTGAGCAACAAAGCCAGGCGGTTGCTCCATATAAATTTCTTCATGCAAATCACCTTTAAGGAAAGCATTTTTGACATCAAGTTGGTAAAGAGGCCATTGTCGAAGAGCGGCCATGGCAATGAATAGGCGAAACAGAGGTCATTTTTGCCACTGGAGAAAAAGTATCACCATAATCCAAACCAAAAATCTGTGTGTAGCCTTTGGCAACCAGTCGAGCTTTCAGACGATCAATTGTGCCATCAGGGCCAACCTTGATAGCATACACCCACTTGCAACCAACAACAAACTTTCCAGATGGTAATTGGACAAGCTCCCAAGTTCCACTTTTCTGTAAAGCACTTAATTCATCCAGCATAGCTTGACGCCAGCCAGGATGAGCTAAGGCATCACCCACAAACTTGGGAATTGACACAGAAGAAATGGAGAAGAGACATGTGTAAAAAAATGGAGATAATCTGTGGTAACTAAGAACACTATAATGGGGGGAAGGGTTACGGGTAGAGCGTATACCTTTACGGAGGGCAATAGGCAAGTCAGACTCATTTGCTAGAGCCGGAGGAGACACAGGAGGCGGCACTGGAAGTGAGTCATGAGGGAGACAATTGCGACGACTATAAACCTGAAGGGGTGGTGGTGAAGGACGATCCTGTGGTGAATGAGAGTCTAAAGAAGGAGGAGACAAAACTAGAAGATAGATGTGAAAAGTAAAAAGAAGATTCATCAAAAGTGACATCAGTAGAGATAAAATGACGATTGAGGGTAGGGGAAAAACACTTATAACCCTTTTGTGACCGTGGAAATCTTAAGAAGACACATTTGTGAGACCTAGGAGATAACTTATCAAGACTAGGACTAAAATCATGAACAAAACATGTAGACCCAAAAACTCTAAGAGGTAATGGATGTAGAGGGTCTTGAAGAAATAAGATAGAATGAGGTATTTGTTATCTAGGACGAAAGATGACATGCAGTTTATAAGATAACATGCCGTGAGAACTGCATCACCCCTAAAACGTGAGGGTACTTGACCATGAATTAGAAGTGTAGGAGTTGTTTCAATAAGGTGTCTATTGTTGCGCTCAGCCACTCCATTTTGTTGAGGGGTATAAGCACATGAGGTTTGGTGAAGAAGGCCATGAGAAGCCATAAAATGTTTAAATGGTTGAGAAAGGTATTCACGACTATTATCACTGCGTAAATTTCGAATAGAAACCCCAAACTGTGTTTTTATTTCATCGAAAAATGATTGGAAAATAGGAAATAACTCAGAACGATTCTTCATTAAAATCAATCAAGTACATCTGGAATAGTCATCAATAAAGGTAACAAAATACTAAAAACCTAAAGTGGACTTAACACGACTAGGTCCCCAAATGTCAGAATGAACCAATGAAAAGGGGGACGACGCCCGTTGTGAGACACTACGAGGAAAGGAACTACAAGTATGCTTTCCTAACTGACAAGACTCACACGACAAACTTGATAATTTTGACAACCTCGGGACAAGTTGTTGCAGTTCGGCAAGACTAGAATGACTTAACTGAGCATGAAGAAGGGATGGTGACTCCATGATTACGCCAACATGTGAAGAAGGGCGGAGATGGTATTGGCCATGAGACTCACATCCTGTGCCAATCATGTGTTTCGAACTCCGGTCCTCTAACCAAACAAAATCTTTAGTAAATGAAATAACACAATTAAGGGTACGAGTTAGACGACTTATGGACAATAAGTTGAAGGGAGACCAAGGGACATAAAGTACATGATCAATGGATATGGACGGAAAAATATGAACAGTACCAACACCATGAGATGAGACTCTAGACCCATCAGCCATTGTTAC